AATTTTGATAGTTAAAATCTTAGAATAGAAATCAATATTTATGACTTTGTTTGCTATCATATCGGAGAGCATCGATTTTCTCAATAACGAAAAAGCAAAAATTTTTCAAAAATCATGTATAGTATTTTCCTAACTATATGACATTGACTTTTTTTTTGTAAACCTTATTTACACAATAAACACATACTGAACAATGCAAATGAGTTACAAAAGTTTTTTTTTTTAAATGAATTGTAAAATAATTCAACTTTTTAAAATTGATATCAATAGTTTTCGTCAGGTCTATTGGACCTATCTTGTTCTGCTGAGGTCCATCATACTCTATCACTGTTAACGACAGTTTATGTATAAATTTGGATACATCAACACTTTCGTTAACACTAGTAGAATCTGATAGATTACTCAGCTAAGTCTCTTCTATACAATATCGAAAATTCGAATTATTTTCTAGTGAATTAACATCATGAGATCAAAAACGGCGAACGAATTTTGCTCAAATTTCGAATGGCTGACAGCTAATAAAAATATATCTTACATTAAATTTATATCCTTGAACAATTTTCGGTGGTGGATTATCTGTATCATAATGTTTTTTATTATATTGATTCCAATCATAACCCTAAAAAAATTGAAATTGTTTCATCTCAATTAAAAATAAAAATAATAAACATACGGTATGAACTTTATTAAAAACATGTGGTTTACGTGGTCGATATTTATCTAACCACAAATATTGAACATCCATAGGAAGAACAGTATTAATAAGTGAATCATCAGCTGTTAAACTACCCATACTTCGAACAAAAGCTTCAAAAGCATCTTCAACATCAGGTTTAACTGAACAAGATTTAATAACCGATTCACGTTGTTGTTTTAGTTTTTCCCAATCAACAGTTTCATCAATACAACATTTTTGATTTTTCAAATCCAAATCATTTATATCAACTAATCTAGGTAAATAACAACCTTTTTCATATTCACGTAAACATTTATTTTCTAAATCTTCATTTGATTCAAATTCATTATCATTCAATGAATTTGATTGATTATTATTGTTATTGTTATTTTCGTTGTCTTTCTTTTTTGATGTTGAAGAACTTTTTGATGACACTGATGTAGGTGCATGAAATATACCTTGTTCTTGTTTAATTTCTTGTAATTTTCTTTTTAATGTTAGTTAATGACGATCACGAAGACGTGCACGAGTCATATGTGCTTGTAATGGATATAATAATGATTCCCAATAACCGATATCAATACTTTTTTGCATTTTTAATTTGTGATCTAAATTTCAAATATTTACTGATTATATTTCTGTTTTCTTTGATAATTACGAAATGTAAGATTGTCCATTTTGTTTTTGTAATAGTTGAAATATAAAGTAGTTATCTTGGAAAAACTAATCAGCAGAATTTTCTCCGTTGTCCGGCAGAAAGATAAATAAGATCTTTAAGGGTGTGGGTGGGTGTGGGTGTGAGTGTGGGTGTGGCTGGGTGCGGGTGTGGGTGGGTGTGGTTGTGAGTAAGTATGTGAGTTCTCTTGTAAACCACACCCACACCCCACACCCGCACACACACCTACACACCCACATCCACACCCACACCCATAAAACTTTATAATCGCATGACAAACGTGCATCCATATAAGAAGATCTCGCGTATTCCACTACTTTAAGATCGAAATTGGCCGAATTTCTCTGAGAAAATACGAAATTTTCATAGAAGAGCGTCTTTAAGAAAGTCTTCTTATAATGATGGAAGCCTCTGTTTACTAACAGGGATTTACTGATGAACACGTTTTCTTTTATCAATTACATGGAAGCATAAAATAGTAGTGCATGAATGAATATTGTAGAAATGTTTACACATAGTTCGAAGTGATCGAACTTTTCAAAAATATGATCATTCAAACAGGAACGAGTATAATTTTATCTATAGTCTTCAATAGTTTTTACCTTTTCAGATCACATTATCATATAATTGATCATATGCATAATTATATTGATAGCATTTATTGTTATCTTTTAACTGTTTCTACAACCTGCAATTTATTAAAGGTTTTTTTCTCATTCTTTGAAAAAGATAAAACTGTTTATTGCGATTGCATGAGTTATATGCAAACGAAGAAAATAAAAATTTATTTGAGCACAAAATAGTTTGTGCTTTGTACCGTTGAAAGTTTTTTCTCTGCAAAGAAAAGAATTAGTGAACGAATGAAGAATTTTTCATTTGATAGAATGTTCGACGTTATTCTTGTGAAACACGAAGTGAAAGGAGTGCTGAATTGTTTAGAAGTAAATGTGAATCATCCTCCTAACAAGCGATGCAAAAGTCTTTGGAAAAATATTCAGTGCTATTTCGAACTAATGAATACATATTTACATGAACATTTTACTATCAGCTAATCGCTTTTTCATATACAAGAGAGAAGAAGAATGAAGATAAAGTCATTGATCGGCCAGTGATCATAACAATGAACAAAAAAAACGACTATTGGTCATTAGCGATAATCGATCATATACCAATGTAGTAATACTAACTTTGTGTGTGTGAATGACGTGTTCTGATTTCTTACATTCATGTCCCCAAATCCATAATTCAGCCTAAAACGAATTGTTCTACAATACGTCTTTAATATCTCGAAATTATTATTAAGATCTGATCAAACGTTGAATCGATCATTAGAACATTGAGCAATCATCAAATTTGTTTGTATAAAAATATTCACACTCAAATCGTCTTCAAAAAAAAATTGAGTGAGTCTGATGCGACTAGTTATCATGCAGATTTGCCTGAACAATAGCGCATTTTATAGACACTTATTGGGTGTGACGGTCGACATAATTGAGAACGTACACACCCAAAACAACCCACGGAAATGATAAGTCACCGTATATCGTAACAACATTTGACATCACCCGTAAAGTCATGATAGGGTTTGTGTTTCATCGAGTTGTCCAAGCGATGTAAACAATTTAAGCAGCGTGTATTCCAAACAATGTGTCAAAATCGAGCAAATATATTATATAGAGAAGAATACGGATTTCAAGAATCAAGATTAGTCAATATCACATTCCGCACAATGTTATCCATCTGAATAAATATTTGTACATAGTAGTTCATCAATATTATATCGATCTAGCTGACTTTGTGATCAAATAGAAGATTCGTCTGATAATGACAGTAGTTTGCTATTTCAATTCAGCATTTTCTTAGTCTATCAGGCAGGCAGCATTGTGAAAAGTGACAGACTTTGTTCCACTGAAACTATGATTATGTCCTTAAGTTCGATATCTTCGTGTGAATATGCTGACGCTTTTGGATGGCATGAAAATGAATTAAATATAAATAAATTTTTGATTGTCTCAAGATCATTGATCTACCATTCTGTTTAATGGTTGAACCATCGATATATTTCTCTACTTCGATTAATCCTTAGCTTGTTTGTTCCTTCTGTAGTGCTCCTCAGACGAAAAAAGTACATTTTCTATCTGCTCGTTCTTCTCACCTCTTTCTTATTATATCTTCATTCAAATATCAATGAGAGTCTGTGGGTGCAAGTGCTGGTGTGGATCTTTTCTGCATTGCAGCAACATTACCACGAACTTACAGTCATTAGCAGCCACACCTCACATCAATACCCATACACCAATATGCACACCCACGCCCTCCTTATTTTGTCTAAACCGATATCGAAGTGATCATTTTCTTATTGATTATTTAATTTGATCTGCTCTATTACAAAAAATGACTGTAGCAAAATAAAATTATTATTCTTATAGAATGATGAGACGCCGATCAACCGTGATAATTTCTGAAGTACTGAGCCTTCGCGATCACGTCGAATTCAGATACTTCAGAAAAAGCTGTGCGTGTGAATAGGGGTGTGGCTGTGGCTCTGGCTATGAGGTGTTGACTGTGGGTGTGTCTCGATGTGGGTGTGCATGCCGATTTAGATTTTATCACACCCACACCCACACCCACACTCACACCCCACACCCACACCCACACCCACCCACCCACACCCAC